GAAGACAAGCACAAACTCCTTTATCTTCTACGTCCAGACCAGGAAACACAACCCACCGTCCACCATGTTGACATACCTTACCCACAGAGGGGAAACCGATGAGAGCGACACGGGCATCTCCTGATTTCATGACATCGAACCCCTCCCCTTTGGCCCCTGCTGACTTGGAGGGCTCCAGAAGTTGAGCTCTGTATTTGGCTAGCTTGGCTTTGAGCAAACCCAGATGGTACTCAGTGGCTGGAAGTAAGAGTGAATGGAAAGGGGGGATAATGGAGCTGTTAATGCTGCAATTAAAATAACAACAATACAGTTGTTTTTAGATTGTACTTAACATATGCATAAACAAAATGTGGAAATAAGACTAAATATTGATTCGTCTTGAGGTATAATGCAACACTCATAGCTGACAAACACACACAGCTGGGTACAAGTTGGTCCATTGTGGCGCTAACAGTTAGCGCTGCGACTTCTCCCTCTCACCTTTGTTTTTCTGTGTTCGAGAAATTTCTTTCTCTATTTCCGCGATTTTCTCCAGGATTCCCATGGCTGAAGTTCAGACAGGTGTCAACGCTTACACTGTTAAAAAAATCAGCAAATAAAAAAAAAAAAAGAAACGTGTCACTCCAGAGTTGTTAGCTTTGTTAGCCGCCCGGCTAACCGGGCAACTAGTAACACTTTAACAGTTGAGAAACAAAAACAGAGAGTGAGGATATGATAAAGCAAGCGAGCACCCGAATACAACACGGGTAATGTCAACAGCTTAAATTATTGAAATACTGTAGAAAATTACACTTTAGCAGAGGATACACTCAACAGCATGCACAGTTAACCGACATCACCAACCGGAACACCGTCCGTTCCAGTGAAATGTCCGGGAGGAAACAAGAAAACTCGGGGAAACTTTTACCGCGTGTGTCGATGTCGTTACATCAGTCGGGGAAGTGACCGCTTGTGACCATGACACTGTCGCCACGGTAGAGGAAATATTAAAGAGCAATTACCCGTCCACTAAGAGGCATTTGCATTTTAAACAGCTATACGTCCATGCCTGTCAAGTGTTCAGTTAGCGGTATTAGCTTATACGTAAAGTAAGCATGGCTGCGCCCACGGGACCGAGAGGATCACAGGTGCCCTCTGCGTTTGAAGGATTCCCCTTTCCAATGGCTAGCAGACCACCGGAGGACAGCTCCGGTAAAGAGCAGGAGCAGACCGGGGATGTGAAAAAGAAGCCATGCAGGGCTTGTACGGACTTTAAATCGTGGATAAAGATGCAGAAGAAGCAGGCGACAACTGCTAGTGGTGGTACCGCACAGGTGACACAATGGAGTCAGGCTGGAAACTTGACAAATTACTTCGACGGTGTAAAGTTTATGATGTCGTAACATTGTGATTCACTGTTTTAAGATTTGGTTGTGATGGCAGCCAGCAAACTGGAGAGATATCAATATGTATTTGTGATAACCAAACAACCATAAATCATTCATTCAGACGGGGCAGCAGGCCACTAGTCTCTCTTGAATTCATCAGGTGACTGTCTGTGTTGATCCTGCAGGAGACAAAAGCTGCAGATTCAGAGCCACAAGATCCCCAGTGTCCGCTGGACAGGGAAGAGCTGGGCCGCAGCACTTGGTCCTTTCTGCACACTATGGCCGCGTATTACCCGGATCATCCATCTACCACTCAGCAGCAAGAGATGGGGCAGTTCATCAACATTTTCTCCAAGTTCTTCCCATGTGATGAATGTGCACAAGACCTCAGGGACAGGTCAGAACCACACGAGTGCTGCCAGATTTAATGTACAGGGCTGAAAGTCACATATCGGCACTTGCGCACATCTTCACACATAAAGGATCTTAGAAATGATTTGGCATATTTTACTCTTTTATTTACCACCCTCACACTTTCAGATGCTTTAGGATGAAATGCCACGATCACCAAACCACATTTCCTCTCCACAGATTGAAAACCAATCAGCCAGACACTAGCAGCCGCCACGCTCTTTCTCAGTGGTTCTGTCGTCTTCACAACAACATCAACGTCAGGTTGGGGAAGCCTGAGTTTGACTGTTCCCGTGTGGATGAGAGGTGGAGAGATGGATGGAAAGATGGCTCCTGTGATTGAGTGATTGTGCTGAGAGAGATTTGAAGACTCGAGTAAACCCCGTCGTCGGTATAAAACACCACTAAACTGAGCTCATGTTTGAGTGTTGGGTTTTTCTGGTTTTGTTTTAATATAGTATAATTAATCTATTAATAAAATTAAAGATTACATAATAGTTTTCCTCAGTGTTTCTTGAGTTCAGATCCTTTCAGTTCAGTTTTATTTGTAAAGCACTGAAACATAAAAACAGTTTTCTGCAATATTATAGAGAGAAACTCAAAACACTAAACTCAAGATTCTGGGTTATATTATAATCCTCTCCTTGTTGGAAGTGCTTAACCAGGTATGACTCTCACTTGACCATTAGAGCAAAGACACCTGTGTATTGGTTCGTTATCACCAACCTTCAGTGCTGTGGAAACATATCGAGTCATCATTTCTTTATATTTTGCTTCCCAAGAGCCAGATTTTCTTGTAATTTTTCAAAGTGGTCCTAAGCAATAGTTCTCCAGGCTTTCTGAAAGTCTTTCAAAGTTTATCTTTGGACATCCAAAGTAAAGCTGGGAATGTCCTTCAAGAAACCTGGAGAACTATTAATGAAGACTACTCAAAGCAGGGGTGGGGAACTCCAGGCCTCAAGGGTCGGTGTCCTGCAGGTTTTAGATCTCACCCTGGGTTAACACACCTGAATCACATGATTAGTTCATTACCAGGCCTCTGGAGAACTTCAAGACATGTTGAGGAGGTAATTTAGCCATTTAAATTGTCTGTGTTGGATCAAGGATACATCTAAAACCTTCAGGACACTGGACCTTGAGGCCTGGAGTTCCCCCACCCCTTACCCACAGAAAAGACAAGAAAGCTGCCTAAGAGAGTTCAGACTGTGTTGAAGAATAAAGGCAGTCATAGGAAATATTAACTTTCATTTTGTCTTGTATACTATATTTTCATGTATTTTTGCATGTTTCAGTATATCACTGCACCTATTTCCCATTTTCCCAGCAAAATATAGAGAAATGAAGAGTCAAGACTTTTGTTAAAGTACTGTAAATTTTGGACCAGTAAAATTTCTAAATTTCTGTCATTTCATTTTTTACTATACACTATGCAGTGTTTTGTCTGCTGGTCTGACAAAGTAATCACTCAACAGAAATCACTAGACTGTGTAAACGTGTGACAGAAATGTGTCTGTTTTCCAGAGGGAATAAAACATGTCTAATCAAAATGATTGCATTTGTGAAAATTTAAGCACACTGACTCAAAAGACTACATAAAAGCTCTTATTTTGAAGAGTTCTTATATTTGTTTTACTGATCATATAATTTTTTCTCTATTTATGCCATATTCTCCTGCCATATCTTGTCTAGAATTATTTCCTTTATAACCCTAGTGTCATCACACATTCATTTTATTTCCTCAAACATAGACTATTAAACTACAAAAAACATTAGTGACTTCTAGTGGTGTCAGCCATAAATGCACCTCATTGTATAAATCAACACATCTACTGCTTCAGTGGCCTTTCTCAGAACACTTTACATAAAACAATTCACTGAATATTAAAAATGGCACATTTGTTTTTCTCCAGGTGTAATAATATAATATTTTTTAGTATTCACAATGCACTGGTTGTACAGCCAAGTTGCATTTATTTAATTTATGTAGTATTTATTGAATCACAAACCACGTGTCCTCAGGCAGTGTACATAAATTTACCAGGAATGACTTGTAAACCTGTGCTGGGATTTTTAGTAAGGCTGATAATGTTGATTTTTATGGTTCAGTCATCATTGAGGATTCATGAATGAATAAATATCCCATGATGAGACACTTGTGACTATACTTTCTGTGGTATTTGGCATTCCTGTACCATCATAAGACTTTTCTTTATTCCATATTTCATAATCGCAGAGTGTTTGTGACTGGGGCACGCACAGTCTCACCCACTGTATTGTTTATAGCCTGCTTAGCTGGATGCTAACTTATATGAAACTCTTGGAATAGTTGTAAACCTGTAGATTTAGATGGTGCTCAGGACAACAAAGACATATGCTCAGGGTTAGGAGATTTAAGCAAAGTTTACTAGTAATTCAAAACAGTAATTTTATAGAATAAAATCCAGTTCATCCACGTAAAATATCTGAGGTGCCAAAAGCTCCAAAAGCTCACTGATTGCATTACCAACAACCAACCTAACCTTAACCTTTTTAGCAGACGATAAGTGGTAATGTGTGCTTAACATTACAAAACATGCCAAATTTAAACCTCCTAAACAGAGAACTTGAAACACTAAAATGGAAATCCCACAATGCATCTGTTAATTTAAAATTTACAAGAAAGGTTTTATACTTGATTTAATGTCGGACAGTCCTCCACAGGCTCCCAGAATGCATTGTTGTTTGTAGAAGTTTACTGTATTTTTAAAAATACAGCATAAAATAATAATAAAATCATGTAGTTCTTACAGTAATTTGTAATAGCGCTCTTTAATAACCTTATCCCAGCTTGGGTTTCCTTTCTTTTAAACTTTTATTTGTTTACATAAAGTTTGGCCAAAGATTTGGGAAAAGTATGGCAACATAAGCTGTCCCACACGGGTATTGTGTACTCTGTTTTTGCCATTATTAATCCCACTAACCTACTGCAAAAGCCCTTTGAGGTCAAACATAAATGTGTATTTCATTAACCTGTTCTATTTTGAACCAACAACATTGGTCCAAGTGGCCTCCATCGTTTTATCCCCGCTCTCACGCTATCCTCCTATAATTGTATTCCATTATCCTGTTTTATTCCTGTGTAACAACATTAAAGTGAGCTCTGGCATAAATGGCCTATCCCGCTCGTCCGTAGCGTGGGCACGTTCTGGCTCCTGCACGTTCTCCACCGAGCGCCCGCGCGCCGTTTGGGAGCGCGCAGGACCCGTCCCTACAGCAGCGAGCAGCAGCAGCGCATCCATCCTGCCGTGGAGCCGGGAGCGTGGAGCCGCGAGGAGCGCACACACAGAGCGACAGAAGATGGACGGAGTGGGATCGTTCGGAGCGGGCCGGTCCGGGTCCACTATCGACCCGATTACCTTCGCCAAGCAGCCGCAGACCATCCTCAGAGTGCTGTCCTGGGTGAGAGCGGGTTTTCACGGTGCTGCCGTGTGTGTGTGTGCGGGGGGTGGGGGGTCCTCTCTGTTGTCGTTGCTGCGCGAAACCAGTGACGTGTTTTCCCTGTAAATACAGGCTCGAGAAATCCACTAAAAGCTGATAAGGATGCGGTGTAAATGGAGACATGAAATCAATGTTAATGCTGGGGGTGATTTACAGAAATGTGCTGTACAGGGTGTAACCAGGGCCTGGTGCTTATCTGACACCGTGACCAGTGATTTCACTACAGATGTGTGTGTTTGTGAGGTGTAAACGACCTCTCCTCACCTATTCTCTTTCCCTTTTTTTCCTTTTTTTTTTTACATGCCACCTGCCAGTGTTTAACAAACACTGAGCAGCAGACCGGGTTGTGCTGAAAATAAGAGAGGCACATCCATATTCACTCATCAGCATTCACGTTTCTGGGCAATTGTGCTACTTATTTACGGTCCCATTGACCTACCACTTCTTATTTATCATTTCACCTGTCGTTTACACTGTTAAGTCACAATTTTCAGCTCATGATTTTGCTGATTTACCCCTACACTGCCGTCGCCGTTCGTCATCCCACCTGTGATTGGTCCGCGATCGTCGTTACGCACGGAGGGCCACGAGAAGCTTCGTGCCCTGACGTTTCGTGTAGGCTAAACGCATCACCTCTGGGTGACACAGAGAAGGTCTTCCTCAGTGGTGCCAGGGCCTCAAAAGGAAGCCAGTGGATCGTATGCAATTAATGTCATCATCATCACGTGATTTTAAAGAATTTGACTGGATGCAGAGGTTGCCACGTCGAGTTAAGATACGCGCTGTGATGTACTTATGCAGAAAAAGCTGCCTCACTTTATAGCTGTGGCCACTCAAGATGGAGCCTTTTAAACTCTGCTTGATATACGTTAAGGTAGCCCTGTGCTTCCAGCCCCATGTGGTACTTCCCACCACTGCAGTGGCAGTTTACAGAAGACAGTATACCAGGAATCTATTTCAGGAGGAGGGGGAAATGAATTCTAGTCTGTAGTGGGAATCCACAGTAAACAGGCAATTATGTTAATGCCCTTTCCTCTCGTTTGTTTAAAAAAAAAAGCTATTCGTCAGTTAGAAATCTCACAGCAGGATTTTTTTAATTAAGGAAGAAGCGAATCAAAGTTTAGAGCAGGCAGGTAAAAGGAGAAGCCAACCCTTAAAAAGACATATTGTTTTTAAGCAGCTTTTATTTTTTTTATCACAACGATTCACTAAAAGCACCCGAGTGTGCGTCTACTCAGATTAAATCCACACATGTGATTAGTTTAAAATGTGGACCTGACATTATTCCTTTGTGTGTCCCCTCCACCTCTGTCATATGACCCACAAGCCCCCCCCCCCAGTAGGAGTGCATTTTTTCTTTGTGAGTGTGTGTGTCAGTCACATGGCCCTACTCTGCCATGAGTGTTAGTCAGCTGATCAACAGAGGGAAGAAGAAAGGCTGAAAATGAACTTGAGAAATTTAAGTTGGAGTTTATGGTAGTAGGTTTACGTGCAGTTACACACACACTGCCTCGGGACTGTGTGATTCTTTAGGGGAAGCGAAGCATCCACCTCTTCCAGTCAGTCAGAGAGAAAGAGGGGAAATTAGGTTAATGCCTTTTGGTTTGAGTATGCTCAGAGAGATGCTTTTGAGTAGTGTAGCTTCCAGTGAGTCTGCAAGCAGTGTTTGTTTGCTGGATAGACAGAAAACTGAAACAGTATCGCTTTAAATGGTAATCTGTTTTTGTTGTTTTCTTTAATCTAGCTCTTCCTTCCTGTCGCTCACTTTGTTCTGACTCTGACTCCACCCTCTACTTTCCCTTCGAACAACAGATATTTTCCTTGGTGGTCTTCGCCTCCATCGTGAACGAGGGTTATGTCAACATGGGCAGCGAGCGACTCCACTGCATCTTCAATAAGAACACAGACGCGTGCAACTACGGCGTGTTCGTGGGCCTGGTTGGCCTGCTGGCATGCTCCTTCTTCTTCCTGCTTGACTACAAGTTCTCCTCCATCAGCTCTGTTAAAGACAGGAAGAAGGCTGTAATGCTTGAGATCGGCTTCTCAGGTGAGGATGTGACATGTGATGGGAGGTCTTGTTCGCAGACACAAGCAAACAGGGAAGGCACAGAGCATTTCTTCCAGGCTGTCCTGGTGTGTCTGAGTTATGGCAGCTACAGGAAGTGATTCGTTTTTAAAAGGTCTTGCTGTGAGAAAAAATGAAGAAATCAAACAAAATACATCATCACTAGTGCATAATGCCAAACCGCGTAATGGGACTGTGCACTGGATGTTTTTGGAAAATGTACTTTTAATCTAAATGGTTCGGCACTTTTGTGGTTAAAGTCCTATCTTTTAAATAGGACCTTTTGTGTTAAGTTGGGGTCGGCTTCATCCTCTGTGGCTCCTCTGCTTTGGGGTGTGCCACAGGGATCTATTCTTGGGCCGTTATTGTTTTCATTGTACCTCTTGCCTCTTGGCGCGATTTTCCGAAAGCATAAAGTGCCATTCCATCTATACGCAGATGACTGCCAGCTCTACTTACCTTTTAGTCATTCTGATAGTCTCCCAACTGGACCTCTGCTTGACTGCCTTACTGATGTCAAAGCATGGATGGCAAAAAACTTTTTAAATTTTAATGATCGGAAGACAGAAGCAATTTTATTTGGCCCAAATCGTTCTTCTCATACTCTGGATGTTGATCTTGCAGCTTTGACTTCCCAACTAAAGAGTTCGATCACAAATCTTGGAGTTAAAATTGATTCTGCACTCACCTTTGATGACCATGTAAACGGGGTGGTAAAATCAGCATTTTATCACCTCAGACGTTTATCAAAGGTTAAGCCCTTTCTTTCCAAGTGTGACTTGGAAAGTGTTATTCATGCCTTTATTACCTCACGTTTAGATTATTGTAATTCTCTTTTAATAGGGGTTGGGCAGGGCACTTTGTCACGCTTGCAATTAGTGCAAAATGCTGCGGCACGATTTTTAACTGGCAGAACAAAATTTGATCACATCACTCCGATTTTGGCCTCTTTACACTGGCTTCCAATTTAATTCAGGATCCGTTTTAAAGTCCTTTTATTGGCTTTTAAATCTCTAAATGGTCTGGCACCTGTTTATTTGTCTGACTTGTTGAAGCCCCACGTCCCCACTCGTTCCCTTCGGTCAGCTGAGCAGTTGCTGCTTTCGGTCCCAAAGTCACGGCTGAAACTTAGAGGAGACCGAGCGTTCTCTGTTGCTGTGCCGATGCTTTGGAATAACCTTCCTCTCCATATTAGACAGGCTACATCAGTGCCAGTTTTTAAGTCTTTATTAACCCTCGGAGGCTTTAAGTCAAAAAAGCTTTTTTTGACTTAAAGCCTCCGAGGGTTAAAAACCTATTTTTATTCCCTGGCTTTTAACTCTGTGGGTAACTGATTGGTGTTGATCATGTCCATAACTTTATGACCACAGCACACTGTTGAATCTGTACCAGGTAGAGTTAGGGCAGTTCTGAAGAACAAATGGGGTCCAACATAGTACCAGCAAAGTGTACCTAAATAAGTTGGTTGATGAGTGGATAAAACCAATTATATACATGACTAGCATTGATTTCCTTGCTCAAATCAGATCTGCACTTTGACAAATCACAGGCTAACCACTGAATGCCTAAAGGGTCTGAAACTGAAGTGAGTGAACGAAGCCTGGAATCATGATTCAAAAGGCCGGAGTTCCCCAAAAATAACAAAAATGCTACAGATACCAGCTTGCTTCTTTATTTCAAATAACATTCAAAGGAATGAAACCTGTCACCTGAATTTAAGTTTTAAATAGTATTAAGGAGCATTTTATGTTTCTAAAAGGGAACAAAGAAGTGCTTCCAGTCCAAAAATTGGAGAAATCAACACCTACAGGTGCTCTTTCATCTATGTGGAACGCTAACGTTGAATAAACTATTAATTGCTCTGCTGGTTTCTGACAGGTTTCTGGACCTTTCTATACTTTGTAAGTTTCTGCTTCCTCGCCAATCAGTGGTCTCGGACCAGAGCTGAAGAGCTGCCACTCAACCAAGGAGCAGATGCCGCTCGGGCAGCAATCGCCTTCTCTTTCTTCTCCATAATCACCTGGGTAAGCCCCTCCAACCACCTAAAAGCAAAACCACCTTTAACCCCAAGAGCTGAGGCTGGAAATCTTTCTATCTGAGTTGATTCCATGTCTAAAGTTAATTATGAAACTCCAGCAGCAACTGGCCTTATGAGGCATTGATGTACGTATTTATTGAGACTTTGGACTTTCAAAAAGTTTCTTTTTTTTTATTGTAATAGCTGTACTGATTTTCCTAAATGCTACCTCTGACATTGCCTTTATAAAATATAAATAAAAACTAATCAGAAGTTACAAAACTGTAATAACTGCCTGGCTCACAGTATACCAAAACCTGCTAAAGCACTTCTCGATTAGCGCATACTGCAGTGTAGCTAGTTTAAGTCTAACTATAGAAATGTTATTTGTTTTAAGGCTTTTCTTTTGGACTCTCTCTTGGCTTCTTCTTGAAGTTTTATTGGTTTCCATGATGGGCTGTTTTGTTAGCTGTAAACTCAGTTCACTATTTTCCCTTCTTCTTTCTGACATTTTGTTGGCACAGACAAGCTACCTAGCTTGTATAACTAGCTAGCCAGCTTACCTATAAATTAGCTGGCTTTATTTCTACTAAATTCTATAAAATAAATGATAAAATTCTTCTTTTTAAAACCTTTGTTGCTAAAGTGTAGTTATAATGTGCTTTTATGATTAGGAATACCTCACATTGAGTCTCAGACTCACTTTTCCCTCTCTGTGGCCCTTTTCCCGGTCCTCCAGGCTGGTCTAACAGTGCGTGCGGTCCAGAAGTATCTGCTCGGCACAGACATGACACTGTTCACCACCGAACACATGGACGGTGGCGCACCCACCCAGCCATACCCCTCCAACTCTCCGGGAGGCGGCGGCACCACCATCGAGACCACGGAGACCTACCAGAGCCCACCATTCACCGAAAACAACGCAGCACCCACATACCAGGTTCCCATTTACTAGAAAGGATAGACCTGGTGATGGTGGTGGAAGAAGAAGAAGACGACAGGGGAGAGGGATGCAGATAAGAGGAAACTGCTTTCTGTGATGTTACACGTGCAGTTGTTTATGTTGATCCGGGCTGAGTTTTCAGTAAGCGTTGAATTAGCGGCCTCTGATTCCTCATTTCTTCCTCTTGGTACCTTTTCCTTCCCGAACATTCCAGTTTTATCGTCACTTTTGTACGCCTCTCTGTGGAGCAAGGCCACAGCACAGGTACGAGAGCTGATAAATCAAAAAGAAAAACAAGTGGAGGAAATGCAGAGCAGGAGGCCACTTTTGCCGACTTCAAACGCATTTTGACAAAAAATAAGTATGAAAAAAAAGTGATCAACAAGTCAGTGACTCCACCACAACAAAGCAGTATTAGATCCCTAAAAATAGTGCAGGAGGCACTCGCATCCAGAGAGCACCCTTGTCTTATTCTTTTCATTTATTCCAAATCCCCTTTCATGCCAAACACTGCAGGGAATCGTTTTTCTTTTTCTTTTTTTTGGTTGTTGTTTTTCTTTTTCTTTTTTAGCTAGAGTCTGGTCTTTCCTCGTATGTTCCCTGCTGCAGTTAGAAACCATCATCTGCATTAAATCTGCATGTTTCCAAACTTAGAGATCAACTAAGTGCCATACTGTACTGTGTGTTTCAGACAGTGACTTAATTTAGTAGTTTTCCACATGCTGTAAAGAAAAGAAAAACAAAAAAAACACAACGGCAATGTTTTTGTGACCAAGTGCAATATTTCACATTCTTATGTAAGTAGGTAGATGCAGTACTGTAGGTAAACTAGTTTAGGTCAATTTCAGGTGCTGTCTCAAATCACATGCAATTCTTTGGATTGTGCTGATAAGTCTCGACGATCTGACCACCCTGGTGATGTTTTGCAGGAAATGGAAGTTGTATCAGATGATCAAAGCGCTCCAGAGAGAGAGAGAAAGAGGGAATTTCTCTTCCATGGAAGCTGAGCTATTATATATATAATTAGAAAAGTTCAAATTGTGCTATATCATCCTTTCAGACATGTTTTAGTCTCCCTTAATGAAATCTATCGCACATTTTAAAGCAAACGACACTCACGGTGCAAAATATAAATGGTACAGTGTCACCCTGACTGAGCCGGTGTGATTTTGGGGGTCAGCCTGATTACACTTCAAATTCAGTGTGGAAACCTTCATCCTTATTGAATCACCATTCAGTCTGGTATATTTCTGTGCCTGGCATGAATGGATTATTAAATGGACCTAATGGGCTCCTGCGCTGGAAGTGATTATTAATCCTGGAAAGTCAGTTACATGACTATTAAAAACACACACACACACACACACAAACTGATCAGGAGTTCGGGGGGAGGGTGGGGGCTTTTACAGCCTGTGCCCAGGGGGCCTTTGTCTCACAATCAATCCATGGTGCCAGGGAATGTATTCAGTGTGTTATTTGAGACAGCGCCCTGTGCTGACTGCTGTGTGTACAAAAATCAGGAGAGTGGGAGATATTCTGGGTAAATTATGTAGGTCCGTTTATGTTTACGTTTTAGAAGCTGCCAAACTGCCCTGTGTTCTTATTGCTGTCTTCTGATTACCACGTTACTACTACGTTACTACTATGTTGTTAATAGGATCTTCTGGAGGGGGGGGCAAAAGAAAGAATATAGTTGGGGGGTGTTACAGATCGCTCGCTGGCTAATTCATTGATCCTGCAATCCCGCCACATTAAGGAGAGAGCGGCGGGTTGGGGTGTAATAATTAGTTGCCATGACGACAGGGTTGTGTGGATGTTGGTCACCAGGGGCCCTGATGTAGATAGTACCCATGCCAACCATGTCGGTGTGTAGCAGTGTCTGTGCTGTGCTTCGCGTGCACGCTCTCATCAGTGAATCTGTGGTGTCGTGTGGTGTGTGTGCGACCGTGCGAGTGTGTCCACGTGCACCATCGTCGTGCACGAGGGACGTGTAAGTCTGCACGCTTGTGTCCAAAGCCGTGAGTGTGTGCAGTCAGTTGGGTTCTGTGCTGCATCGAAGTTTGTTTTTTCTTTAACGTGCATTTATCAGAGAGGGGGAATCACGAGCGTGCTACGATATTTAATCATTTTGCCTCAGTAAAAACACTATTTAACCTCAGTGTCACTGATAAGGTATACATAATGCAAAGCAAATTAACTGGGCCAAATCTAAAAGAATTCTAGTTAAAGTGACACACATGACCAGTCGAAAGCCTTGCTTGCTGTTCTAATGGATCCAGTGTAAATGGTTATCTCTGCTGCGGCAGGACAACTGAAGCAATCATCATAATAAGGAAAGAAAATTGTTTGTTATATATCGAATGCTGTGTCACTCCGACTCTAATAGGATGTTTTAGAAAGACTGGCAGCATCGGTGAAGCTGACAGGATCATTTTATACGTTTGTAACCGCCAATGTATCCATACTTTAAATTTACTTTCTGATTCCTCAGTTGTAGTTTTGCACAAGTGTGTACACACATTAAAAAAAAAAACAACTTAAAGTATTATTAAAAATCCAGATCCGGCCCTTGATTTCATGGACTGGAGCTACAGGAAGCCAACAGACTGAAAATGTTAACTACTGTAGATATGTAGTTATAGAAAAAAAACTCTTATTCTGCAATAATAGAATTTCTGTGTGTCCTCAGTTCCAGCACTCAAATGAATAACACTGATCTACCTGTGATCTTTAAAAAAAACCCAGTTTTACTCACCTCGCCGTCTGTCAGCGAGTGTTAAGTTAAGCATGTCTTTAAAACCGTGGGATAATCCAACAGTCCTGTCTTTCAGAGTTTTATTTTGGGACAGGGTGCAACGCCACTGGCTGCTGGACTACAGCTAGAATAGGGGACAGGAGGAGTACCGTTAAGTCTATTTGTAAGAGTTAAAGGACTACACTTTGTGTTTTAGCCCACCAGCTGCAAATTGTGCACAGATCCCCTACTTTTCACACGGGCTGGTCTTAGTTTATTTGAAAATGCTTTGAATATGTTCTCACAGACTCCAGCTTGGTTTACGTGTTGTTTGTTTGTTCAGATTTATCTGTTAAGGACGCTGGCTTACCATAAACCACAACCTGCTAATAAATAAAAACTTTGAAAAAATATTTAATCATAAATATAGGGTTTTTTTATACTATTTTTGACACCATTTTTCTAGAGGAGACATTTGACATAGTTGAAAGCAGCTTTGTTGCTGGTGGAGTCTGCCATTGCCATTCTGAGAAATCGGATTTAAGCAGCTATGGATACAGTTTAAGTTCAGTTTATGGCATGAGTTTTGAAAATAGTCTGTCGTTATGTGTTAGAAAGCACCGATGTAGTCCTTTAAGTCTTCAGTGTTGCCGGGATGGTAGTGAACAGATAACTGTGGTTGGGTGAGAGGTGCTGCTGGGGTGTTACTGGGTAGATTGGGTTGCTGTCAGGTCAGGTTGTATTGATGTTCTCAGTGCTTCAGTCTCTTCTTCAGTCACTGTGGTAGATAATAATAATAATAATACAAGCATTCTCTGTGTTTCGTGCTCTGGCCCATGTACACCACCGTGGTATTGGTTTGATTGTAAAATTCAGTATGTTATTGAAGTAAATGAAATTATTGTATGATGCTGTTCAGGGTCTGATGTGTCCACTACTACAGAAAATTTAAAAAACAACAACAAATAAATAAATTTATGTCAATAATGCATATTTATAACTAGAAAGCACTCTCTGTTGGAAATACTTTGTCCGATCACTCTTAAAGGGGCTAAAATCAGTCGTTCATGCCATTAATCTGTTAGACCGAGGTCATAAAGAAGGCATGTCATATAGTATAATGCGTTGTATGGATACATCAACCAAGAATTCAAGTGAACATTGATTTTATGGCGTGTTACCCCTTAAACGTTTCTTCTGAGTTGCTTCTTCCTTTCCTGAAGGTGTTTGACCTCTTCAGTGTAAAAACGCGTGTACAGAGATGTGTATCACTGTCTATTACCTGAATGTCTCTGGACTGCAGTCTGACCATCACTCCAATAAAAAAGAAACCATGTTCTGGACTGGCTGTTTGTGTCCCTGGGTTTCGTGGGTGAGGACCTGTGACTTTGTGAATGGGTGAATGACTGAATGTAGTGTAAAGTGCTTTGGGCTCCTTAGGGACTAAGTAAAGTGCTATACAAATACAGGCCATTTACCATTTACTTTATTTTCCATATACACACTATTTCCCTGGGCTTTCCAAAGCTTTAGAGAATGGAAGCTGTGCCAACCCCTACACTTCTTCAATAAGAAAGCTCTAATTGTGCACCAGACGCGCTCCATCCGGAGATGGACCCCAGAAAAGGAGGATGCTCTGAGAGACTGCTATGACACCACAGACTGGGATGTGCTCCTGAGCCCACATGGTGAGGACATAGAGGGGGCACACTGTCTTACAGACTATCTCAACTTTTGTGTGGACACAGTCGCCCCTGCTAAGACGGTACGGTGTTATCCTAATAACAAACCGTGGGTAACACAGGAAGTCAAAGCTGTCCTCAACATGAAGAAGAAGGCTTTCAGGAGCAAAGTGAAGGAGGAGATGAAAGCAGCACAGCGGGAGGTGAAACGCTGCCTGAGGGAAGCAAAGGACACCTACAGGAGGAAGGTGGAGCAGAAGTTGGAGAGGAACAATATGAGGGAGGTCTGGAATGGTGTGAAAACCATCACAGGCCACAACACCAAGAAAAGCACAGTGGGGGGGACTGTGGAGAAGGCAAACGAACTCAACAACTTCTTCAACAGGTTTGACCAGCCCACAACCCCCCCACCCTCACCCTCACCTTCACTACAGAGTCCTCTCCCCACTCTCCTGCCTCCCTCGCTTCCCCCCCTTCCTGACACCATGACACCCCCCTCCTCCAATCCCTCTCTCAGCAGCAAGACATCTCCCCCCCTCCCCTCCTCCCAAACATCTCCCAGTGTCACAGTGGATCAGGTCAGGAGGCAACTGAGGAAGCTTCGCCCCAGAAAGGCAGCAGGCCCAGACAAGGTGTGTCCTAGGATGCTTAAGGCGTGTGCTGCTGAACTTGGGGAGCCGCTACAACGAGTCTTCAACCTCAGTCTGCGACTGGGGAGAGTGCCCGCCCTATGGAAGACATCCTGCATCGTCCCGGTCCCCAAAAAGAACCGGCCCAATGAGCTGAATGACTTCCGACCGGTGGCACTGACGTCACATCTTATGAAGACTCTAGAGCGGCTCTTCCTCAACCTCCTCCGACCACAGGTACAACATGCCCAGGACCCACTACAGTTTGCATACAAGGTGGGTGTCGGAGTGGAGGATGCCATCCTGTACCTCCTACACAGAGCCCACTCACACCTGGATGGGGGAAAAGGCACGGTCAGGATCCTGTTTCTTGACTTTTCCAGTGCCTTTAATACCATCCGGCCCTGTATGCTTCAGGAAAAACTGAACAGGATGGAGGTGGACCCCTGCCTGGTGGCTTGGATCTCCGACTACCTCACCGACAGACCACAGTACGTCAGGCTGAAGGACATCACGTCTGACACTGTGGTCAGCAGCACAGGAGCACCACAGGGAACTGTGCTGTCCCCTCTTCTCTTCACCCTGTACACCTCTGACTTCTGCTACAACTCTGAATTATGCCATATTCAGAAGTTTGCAGATGACACAGCCATCATGGGGTGTATCTGGGATGATCAGGAAGAAGAGTACAGAAGTCTGGTGAGGAACTTTGTCGCATGGAGTCACACAAACCACCTGCAACTCAACACCTCAAAGACTAAGGAACTGGTTGTGGACTTCGGGAGGTCCAGAGAAGGTCCACTGCCAGTTCAGATAGAGGGGGAGGAGGTGGAGGTGGTCAACAAGTACAAGTACCTCGGGCTGTGGGTGGACAATAAACTGGACTGGTCATGCAACACAGAGCACCTGTATAAAAAAGCCCAAAGCCGACTGTACTTCCTCAGGAGGCTGAGGTCTTTTAACATCTGCAGGAAGCTCCTGAGGATG